TTCTTCCCAGTTTATTTCTGTGAAGTCCTGGTTAATTTGCTCCCAGTTTATCTGTTTATTATTGAAGTTGAATTTGCTGAAATCTCCTCCACCGGGAATCTGGACTGGTTTTGAAGGTCTACTCCCCATGGTTGTCATAACTTCAATTAAGTTGTGATCTGAGTAACAGGTATTTGTAATCATTATGTTCCTGATCAATTCATCATTATTAGTGAAAATGAGGTCCAGCGTGTTCTCCTTCCTAGTTGGTTCTACTATTTGCTGGTTTAAGGCAAACCTGTCGCACATCCGTAGCAGGTCATTTGCATGTGCCTGTTCATTTAGGCTACTTCCTGGTATTCTTTCTGATATTACTGTATTAGCCAGGTGCTTCCATTTCAGGTGCCGTAAGTTGAAGTCCCCAAGCAGGATGATGTTCGGAGCTGGATTTGTGAGGTTTTCCAAGCAGTGTTCTATTTTCATTAGTTGGTCTTTAAACTGCTGAGGGTTTGCCTCCGGTGACTTATATACAAGGACAATAACTACATTTAAAATAGGTGGTATAGTGTGTGTGTGGCGGTGTGTATTTAGTGTGTGTGTGTGGCTGTGTGTATTTAGTGTGTGTGTGGCTGTGTGTATTTAGTGTGTGTGTGTGGCTGTGTGTATTTAGTGTGTGTGGCTGTGTGTATTTAGTGTGTGTGTGTGTGTGTGTGGGGTTGTGTGTATTTAGTGTGTGTGACTGTGTGTATTTAGTGTGTGTGTGTGTGTGTATTTAGTGTGTGTGTGTGTGTGTATTTAGTGTGTGTGTGTGTGTATTTAGTGTGTGTGTGTGTGTGTGGCTGTGTGTATTTAGTGTTTGTGTGGGTGTGTGTATTTAGTGTGTGTGTGTGTGTGTATTTAGTGTGGGTGTGTGAATTTAGTGTGTGTGTGTGGCTGTGTGTATTTAGTGTGTGTGTCTGGCTGTGTGTGTTTAGTGTGTGTGTGTGTGTGTGTGTGTGTGTGTGTGTGTGGGGGGGGTGTGTGTATTTAGTGTGTGTGTGTGTGTGTGTGTGTGTGGGGGGGTGTGTGTATTTAGTGTGTGTGTGTGTGTGTGTGTGTGTGTGTGTGTGTGTGTGTGTGTGTGTGTGTGTGTGTGTGTTGGTATTTAGTGTGTGTGTGTGTGTGTGTGTGTATTTAGTGTGTGTGTATTTAGTGTGTGTGTGTGTGTGTGTGTGTGTGTGTGTGTGTGTGTGTGTGTGTGTGTGTGCGTGTGTGTGTGTGCGTGTGTGTAGTATAAACAGAGAGCGCGCTACACGAGCCAATGAGAGCTGGAGACAGGTCATAATACCTCGGCCCACCAACCCACACATCTCAAAGCTATCAATTAAATAATAATATTTATAATACACTGTGCCGGGGAACAGGAAGCCAGAGTGTATTCATACACATTAGGCTTATATCGTGCCCCCCCACCCCCCCTTCCCAAGCCCGAATTACTGACCCCGCCTAGGATGCAACCCCACACCAAGCTGACTTAATTCCTGAGTACCTACTCACTGCTAGGTGAACAGAGGCACTAGGTGAAACGAGGCATCCTGCTTGCTGGTCTGAGCCAGCAGGCTCTTTGAGCCACACACACACACACACACACACACACACACTCTCCAGAGCCCGATAGGCTCAGGAGAGCCCGATAGGCTCAGGAGAGCCCGATAGGCTCAGGAATCTGTACACCTGTTGATTGACGGTTGAGAGGCGGGACCAAAGAGCCAGAGCTCAACCCCCGCAAACACAACTAGGTGAGTACACACACACACACACACACACACAGGGCCAGGAGGCGACCTGCTGGGATCCTATCGTTTCTTTATTATACACCCCATACCCACGGGGAGAGCGGTGATGTATAGGGTTACAGACACACTTGAAGGTTCAGCAACCCCAGAGTTCCTTTACCTAAGCCAGTAGTGACGTGTACATGTATATATATACATATATAGCACATATCAAGAGGATAACATCAGAGGCATATGCCAGGCTGGCCAACATAAGAACGGCATTCAGAACTTTGTATACCACATATGTCAGGCCAATCCTGGAGTATGTGGCCCCAGCATGGAGTCCATATCTAGTCAAGGATAAGACTAAACTGGAAAAGGTTCAAAGGTTTGCCACCAGACTAGTACCCGAGCTGAGAGGTATGAGCTACGAGGAGAGACTACGGGAATTAAACCTCACTTCGCTGGAAGACAGAAGAGTTAGGGGGGACATGATCACCACATTCAAGATTCTGAAAGCAATTGATAGAGTAGATAAAGACAGGCTGTTTAACACAAGGGGCACACGCACAAAGGGACACAGGTGGAAATTGAGTGCTCAAATGAGCCACAGAGATATTAGAAAGAACTTTTTTAGTGTCAGAGTGGTTGACAAATGGAATGAACTAGGAAGTGATGTGGTGGAGGCTGACTCCATACACAGTTTCAAGTGTAGATATGATAGAGCCCAATAGGCTCAGGAATCTGTACACCTGTTGATTGACGGTTGAGAGGCGGGACCAAAGAGCCAGAGCTCAACCCCCCCAAGCACAACTAGGTGAGTACAACTAGATGAGTATATACATGTACACACACATAGATATCAATGATCTGGTTATCAGTCTTAAGATAAAGACAAGAGGGTAGCATCCTTGTGACGCTCAGTGCTCAGGACCAGGCTCTGACCCGCACAGCCTGGTGTTCTCTGATTGTGCCCGTGGCACCTAGACCAGTGGTCACAACACATGGTAGACCAGTGGTCACAACACATGGTAGACCAGTGGTCACAATACAAGGTAGACCAGTGGTCACAACACATGGTAGACCAGTGATCACAAGGTAGACCAGTGGTCACAACACATGGTAGACCAGTGATCACAACACAAGGTAGACCAGTGATCACAACACAAGGTAGACCAGTGATCACAACACAAGGTAGACCAGTGATCACAACACAAGGTAGACCAGTGATCACAACACATGGTAGACCAGTGATCACAACACAAGGTAGACCAGTGATCACAACACAAGGTAGACCAGTGATCACAACACAAGGTAGACCAGTGATCACAACACAAGGTAGACCAGTGATCACAACACAAGGTAGACCAGTGATCACAACACAAGGTAGACCAGTGATCACAACACAAGGTAGACCAGTGATCACAACACAAGGTAGACCAGTGATCACAACACATGGTAGACCAGTGATCACAACACATGGTAGGCCAGTGGTCACAACACATGGTAGACCAGTGATCACAACACAAGGTAGACCAGTGATCACAACACAAGGTAGACCAGTGATCACAACACATGGTAGACCAGTGATCACAACACATGGTAGGCCAGTGGTCACAACACATGGTAGACCAGTGATCACAACACATGGTAGGCCAGTGATCACAACACAAGGTAGACCAGTGGTCACAACACAAGGTAGACCAGTGATCACAACACATGGTAGACCAGTGATCACAACACATGGTAGACCAGTGGTCACAACACATGGTAGACCAGTGGTCACAACACATGGTAGACCAGTGATCACAACACATGGTAGACCAGTGGTCACAACACATGGTAGACCAGTGATCACAACACATGGTAGACCAGTGGTCACAACACATGGTAGACCAGTGGTCACAACACATGGTAGACCAGTGGTCACAACACATGGTAGGCCAGTGGTCACAACACATGGTAGGCCAGTGATCACAACACATGGTAGACCAGTGATCACAACACATGGTAGACCAGTGGTCACAACACATGGTAGGCCAGTGGTCACAAGGTAGACCAGTGGTCACAACACATGGTAGACCAGTGATCACAAGGTAGGCCAGTGGTCACAAGGTAGACCAGTGGTCACAAGGTAGACCAGTGGTCACAACATGGTAGACCAGTGATCACATGGTAGGCCAGTGGTCACAAGGTAGACCAGTGGTCACAACACATGGTAGACCAGTGATCACATGGTAGGCCAGTGGTCACAACACATGGTAGACCAGTGATCACAACACATGGTAGACCAGTGATCACACGGTAGACCAGTGATCACCACACAAGGTAGACCAGTGATCACAACACATGGTAGACCAGTGATCACCACACAAGGTAGACCAGTGATCACAACACATGGTAGACCAGTGGTCACAACACATGGTAGACCAGTGATCACACGGTAGACCAGTGATCACCACACAAGGTAGACCAGTGATCACCACACAAGGTAGACCAGTGATCACAACACATGGTAGACCAGTGATCACCACACAAGGTAGACCAGTGATCACAACACATGGTAGACCAGTGGTCACAACACATGGTAGACCAGTGATCACAACACAAGGTAGACCAGTGATCACCACACAAGGTAGACCAGTGATCACAACACAAGGTAGACCAGTGATCACAAGGTAGACCAGTGATCACAACACATGGTAGACCAGTGATCACAACACAAGGTAGACCAGTGATCACAAGGTAGACCAGTGATCACAAGGTAGACCAGTGATCACAAGGTAGACCAGTGATCACAAGGTAGACCAGTGATCACAAGGAAGACCAGTGATCACAAGGAAGACCAGTGATCACAAGGTAGACCAGTGATCACAAGGTAGACCAGTGATCACAACACAAGGTAGACCAGGGATCACAACACAAGGTAGACCAGTGATCACAACACAAGGTAGACCAGTGATCACAAGGTAGACCAGTGATCACAAGGTAGACCAGTGATCACAAGGTAGACCAGTGATCACAAGGTAGACCAGTGATCACAAGGTAGACCAGTGATCACAAGGTAGACCAGTGATCACAAGGTAGACCAGTGATCACCACACAAGGTAGACCAGTGATCACAACACAAGGTAGACCAGTGATCACAACACAAGGTAGACCACGGTAGACCAGAGCACAGGACAAAGTAGACCAGAGAGCACAACACAAGGTAGACCACGGTAGACCAGAGAGGAGAGGAACACAGTAAAGGGGAACACTTACCGATGGTACCAGGCTGTGTGTAGAGGTGAGGGCTGCCCAGGCTGCTGTGGCACAGTATCCAGGCCTTGTAGCACAGCACGGTGAGGGTGGTGGTGGTGCACAGCAAGAAGAGGGTGCTGGTGCACAGTACGAGGGCTGACACAGCCGCTGTGCCACACTCCTGCTGTGTCACACTATCTCCACCACTGCTCTCAACAACTACTCACATATTACCACTTGCACTGCACAGTAATGCTTCTACCAGCACATTATTCACCGTTTACGCGGGAAGAATTATTCTGATGCGTCACCACGATTTGTTTATTTACAAAGAGGCAAGTGTGAGGGAGGAGCGCGATATTGATGCGTACACCAACCTCCAGGTCCTGACACCAACTGCCCTCCCGCGGCTCTGTACACACTGACGGTGGCGACCGCCGGCAACTCGTCCCTGCCACAGTTGCCAAACAACTTCACTTGTTTTACCTAACACGATATTCAAAACACTTTTCTTACAACAGAAGATAATAACAGGTTTTCAATCAATAATCTATGAACGAATTTCATGTCACATATTTCAACACTTGCTTGGAAACAGAGGCTCGCATTGTTGATTATATGTTGAGCCAATCAACGGCCACGCCTCAGAGTGGGCGAATCAGCAGCCAAGATGTCAATGACGTCACTAAGGATGGTTGCGTCATCACTTGCGTCATCCTGCAGGAGAGAATAAGGGAGATGAAAGCCGCGTCCATTGCGTCGTACGTTTGCAAATGAAATTAGAATTTAACATGAGCTCTAAGTATAGAAATCTATAAATAGTGTTGAAATCCCTTCAGAAGGGTCTTGTGAAGCATTTATTTTTCATGGTGCCCAGCTGGTAGAAATACCAGGAAGAACATGTTCCAATATTACTGTAAGAGTTAAGGTGTCAATTGACCCAACTGTCCACCAAGGACAATATACTCAGGCGGGTCCAGCAGGCTGTTGGGGGAAGCGGCTAGCATCACCACTATCACTACCACCACCACCAGCGTGGGTGGGTGTGGTGACCACCACCACCACCACCAGCGTGGGTGTGGTGACCACCACCACCACCACCAGCGTGGGTGTGGTGACCACCACCACCAGCGTGGGTGTGGTGACCACCACCACCACCACCACCAGCGTGGGTGTGGTGACCTTCGACCCATGACAGTTAACTGTTGCCTTGATCAACTCCCGCCATAATTGTGGGGGGGGGGGGGTGAAGCCCTCGTTACACCACACTTAACAACTCTCTATTACAATACAATACAAAACTTTGTATTAGTTATTAAAGTCCTCGTTACAGAGAACCCCACATTACCCTAACCTAACCATTCAGATTTCTTATAATAAAAATGTGTCTCAGCAACTTTCCCATCTCCCAGTCCTCCCTATCCCTCCCCACTCCCTCGTCCGATGCATTCCCAAATGGTTTGATTTTTCCATCAGCAAGTTGGGAACCTCAAGTGATCTGATGCTCCCATCACTGAAATATAAGAAAAACATTTAAAAAATGAAATGAAAATATTAAAAAAAACCATACTCATTAAATGAACATCAAAAATAAACAACACAGCTTAATTCTAACAGTGAGGGCAGGACCAACAGTGAGGGCAGGACCAACAGTGAGGGGCAGGACCAACAGTGAGGGCAGGACCAACAGTGAGGGGCAGGACCAACAGTGAGGGGCAGCACCAACAGTGAGGGCAGCACCAACAGTGAGGGGCAGGACCAACAGTGAGGGGCAGGACCAACAGTGAGGGGCAGGACCAACAGTGAGGGCAGGACCAACAGTGAGGGCAGGACCAACAGTGAGGGCAGGACCAACAGTGAGGGGCAGGACCAACAGTGAGGGGCAGCACCAACAGTGAGGGCAGCACCAACAGTGAGGGCAGGACCAACAGTGAGGGGCAGCACCAACAGTGAGGGGCAGCACCAACAGTGAGGGCAGCACCAACAGTGAGGGGCAGGACAAACAGTGAGGGGCAGCACCAACAGTGAGGGCAGCACCAACAGTGAGGGCAGGACCAACAGTGAGGGGCAGGACCAACAGTGAGGGGCAGGACCAACAGTGAGGGCAGGACCAACAGTGAGGGGCAGCACCAAGAGTGAGGGCAGCACCAACAGTGAGGGGCAGGACAAACAGTGAGGGGCAGCACCAACAGTGAGGGCAGCACCAACAGTGAGGGCAGGACCAACAGTGAGGGGCAGCACCAACAGTGAGGGGCAGCACCAACAGTGAGGGGCAGCACCAACAGTGAGGGCAGCACCAACAGTGAGGGGCAGGACAAACAGTGAGGGGCAGCACCAACAGTGAGGGGCAGCACCAACAGTGAGGGGCAGGACCAACAGTGAGGGGCAGGACCAACAGTGAGGGCAGGACCAACAGTGAGGGGCAGCACCAACAGTGAGGGCAGCACCAACAGTGAGGGGCAGGACAAACAGTGAGGGGCAGCACCAACAGTGAGGGCAGCACCAACAGTGAGGGCAGGACCAACAGTGAGGGGCAGCACCAACAGTGAGGGGCAGCACCAACAGTGAGGGCAGCACCAACAGTGAGGGGCAGGACAAACAGTGAGGGGCAGCACCAACAGTGAGGGCAGCACCAACAGTGAGGGCAGGACCAACAGTGAGGGGCAGCACCAACAGTGAGGGGCAGCACCAACAGTGAGGGCAGCACCAACAGTGAGGGGCAGGACAAACAGTGAGGGGCAGCACCAACAGTGAGGGCAGCACCAACAGTGAGGGCAGGACCAACAGTGAGGGGCAGCACCAACAGTGAGGGGCAGCACCAACAGTGAGGGCAGCACCAACAGTGAGGGGCAGGACAAACAGTGAGGGGCAGCACCAACAGTGAGGGCAGCACCAACAGTGAGGGCAGGACCAACAGTGAGGGGCAGCACCAACAGTGAGGGGCAGCACCAACAGAGAGGGCAGGACCAACAGTGAGGGCAGGACCAACAGTGAGGGGCAGGACCAACAGTGAGGGGCAGCACCAACAGTGAGGGGCAGGACCAACAGTGAGGGCAGCACCAACAGTGAGGGCAGGACCAACAGTGAGGGCAGGACCAACAGTGAGGGCAGGACCAACAGTGAGGGCAGCACCAACAGTGAGGGGCAGGACCAACAGTGAGGGCAGGACCAACAGTGAGGGCAGGACCAACAGTGAGGGCAGGACCAACAGTGAGGGCAGCACCAACAGTGAGGGCAGCACCAACAGTGAGGGGCAGGAACAACAGTGAGGGGCAGCACCAACAGTGAGGGACAGCACCAACAGTGAGGGGCAGGAACAACAGTGAGGGGCAGCACCAACAGTGAGGGACAGCACCAACAGTGAGGGCAGCACCAACAGTGAGGGACAGCACCAACAGTGAGGGCAGCACCAACAGTGAGGGCAGCACCAACAGTGAGGGCAGGACCAACAGTGAGGGCAGCACCAACAGTGAGGGCAGCACCAACAGTGAGGGCAGGACCAACAGTGAGGGCAGGACCAACAGTGAGGGCAGGACCAACAGTGAGGGCAGCACCAACAGTGAGGGGCAGGAACAACAGTGAGGGGCAGCACCAAAAATGAGGGACAGCACCAACAGTGAGGGCAGCACCAACAGTGAGGGCAGCACCAACAGTGAGGGCAGGACCAACAGTGAGGGCAGCACCAACAGTGAGGGCAGGACCAACAGTGAGGGCAGGACCAACAGTGAGGGCAGCACCAACAGTGAGGGCAGGACCAACAGTGAGGGCAGGACCAACAGTGAGGGCTGGACCAACAGTGAGGGGCAGGACCAACAGTGAGGGGCAGCACCAACAGTGAGGGGCAGCACCAACAGTGAGGACAGCACCAACAGTGAGGGGCAGCACCAACAGTGAGGGGCAGCACCAACAGTGAGGGCAGCACCAACAGTGAGGGCAGGACCAACAGTGAGGGCAGGACCAACAGTGAGGGGCAGCACCAACAGTGAGGACAGCACCAACAGTGAGGGGCAGCACCAACAGTGAGGGCAGGACCAACAGTGAGGGCAGCACCAACAGTGAGGGGCAGCACCAACAGTGAGGACAGCACCAACAGTGAGGGGCAGGACCAACAGTGAGGGGCAGGACCAACAGTGAGGGGCAGGACCAACAGTGAGGGGCAGGACCAACAGTGAGGACAGCACCAACAGTGAGGGGCAGGACCAACAGTGAGGGGCAGGACCAACAGTGAGGGGCAGGACCAACAGTGAGGGCAGCACCAACAGTGAGGGGCAGGACCAACAGTGAGGGGCAGGACCAACAGTGAGGGCTGGACCAACAGTGAGGACAGCACCAACAGTGAGGGGCAGGACCAACAGTGAGGGGCAGCACCAACAGTGAGGGCAGGACCAACAGTGAGGGGCAGCACCAACAGTGAGGGGCAGGACCAACAGTGAGGACAGCACCAACAGTGAGGGGCAGGACCAACAGTGAGGGGCAGGACCAACAGTGAGGGCAGGACCAACAGTGAGGGGCAGGACCAACAGTGAGGGCAGCACCAACAGTGAGGGCAGGACCAACAGTGAGGGGCAGCACCAACAGTGAGGGGCAGGACCAAGAGTGAGGGGCAGGACCAAGAGTGAGGGCTGGACCAACAGTGAGGGGCAGCACCAACAGTGAGGGCAGGACCAACAGTGAGGGCAGCACCAACAGTGAGGACAGCACCAACAGTGAGGGCAGCACCAACAGTGAGGGGCAGGACCAACAGTGAGGGCAGGACCAACAGTGAGGGCAGGACCAACAGTGAGGGGCAGCACCAACAGTGAGGGCAGGACCAACAGTGAGGGCAGGACCAACAGTGAGGGGCAGGACCAACAGTGAGGGGCAGGACCAACAGTGAGGGGCAGGACCAACAGTGAGGGGCAGGACCAACAGTGAGGGGCAGCACCAACAGTGAGGGCAGCACCAACAGTGAGGACAGGACCAACAGTGAGGGGCAGCACCAACAGTGAGGGCAGCACCAACAGTGAGGGCAGCACCAACAGTGAGGGCAGGACCAACAGTGAGGGGCAGGACCAACAGTGAGGGCAGGACCAACAGTGAGGGGCAGCACAAACAGTGAGGGGCAGGACCAACAGTGAGGGGCAGCACCAACAGTGAGGGGCAGCACCAGCAGTGAGGGGCAGGACCAACAGTGAGGGGCAGGACCAACAGTGAGGGACAGCACCAACAGTGAGGGGCAGGACCAACAGTGAGGGGCAGGACCAACAGTGAGGGGCAGCACCAACAGTGAGGGGCAGGACCAACAGTGAGGGGCAGGACCAACAGTGAGGGGCAGGACCAACAGTGAGGGGCAGCACCAACAGTGAGGGCAGGACCAACAGTGAGGGGCAGGACCAACAGTGAGGGGCAGGACCAACAGTGAGGGCAGCACCAACAGTGAGGGCAGGACCAACAGTGAGGGCAGCACCAACAGTGAGGGGCAGCACCAACAGTGAGGACAGCACCAACAGTGAGGGGCAGCACCAACAGTGAGGGGCAGCACCAACAGTGAGGGCAGCACCAACAGTGAGGGGCAGGACCAACAGTGAGGGGCAGGACCAACAGTGAGGGGCAGGACCAACAGTG